CAACCACCTCAAACAAAAATTCACTACTTCAGCACCCACATGTTTTTGTGTCGCGCACGCATTGCCTGAGCAAGAAGGCTAGTTTTCCTTGAAAAAAGGTAGTGCTAAGTTTTCTATACATGAGTAGTGAAATTTCTCTATTTGGTTTTCTAAAATCTATGATTTTCTATAAGAACTCTAGATGAATGCACTTTGAAGAACCCACTGCGCTGGTGTAGGTTGGATATGATTCTGAAAATTTACAAACATTTGAAGAATACCATAACCATGTGAATGGGGCTGGCATGTTAGCAATTTTTGTTATGTTTGTGCAATTTTTTTTTGTTTTCCCTTCTGCAATAGACTATGATTGTCTTCATTAAACCTCTGCTAATTGTCTTTCCTACTAGCTGAGCAAGTAAACACTGACTTCTTTTGATGGAATATTATTGGTATGAATTTATGAATATTCTTTATGTGTTTCTGCTTTAGCTTCATGGTATTTTTGATATTTTCTATTTATATTCTCTTGTATTTTTGGAGGATACTTATCCCCAATCAATTGATATCCGAAAGAGAAAGAAATATATAATTAATATTCGCACTTAAATGATTAAGATATTGTCAAAATACTGAGTGAGCAGAGATTACTTTAATTGGCCGATCAGGAGTTATAGTTTGCTTGTGAACTCTGCAGGTTAAATCCTTTCGAACTCCAAAAGAAGTTGATACTTGGCTTTTAGATAACCCCCTGCGCTGTCCTGGTGCTTTACATTTTGTGGAAAAAAGTTCAACTGTTATAAGTTATGGCGTCCAGACCAATTCCACTAGTGTGGCCAAGCGAGGTCAATTTGAGGACCCAACTTTCAAATTTCAAATTCCTCTACAAATTGCAGCTGAGCGTGAAATTGCGAGGTCATTACTTGGAGGTGCTTTTCTCTATCCACCTCCCTTTTTACGTCATGATGGAAACTAATGAAAATTATTCGTAGAACTTCTTCTGAACTTGATGATTCTCTTTTGTTCAATTACCTAAATGGTTTGGGAAATGAAGCACATCAATCTCACTGAATTTACCTGGTGTAAATTTAAGAATTCTTAGACACACATATTTAAGGCTCTATTTTAGCATTACTGTTCTATTTGTGACATGGCATCTTATTTCAGTTTTTCAGTCTGTTTCATTCACTGGATAACATTGTGCACCTGAAATTGAGATCTCAAGCTTGAGATCTGAGGGACAGAGCTAACAATTCGAACAGTTTACATCTTTCATAATTGATATTAGCATACCCCTCAATCGTCCCAAATTTTAGAAAGAAAAGCCTATAAGTTGGAAGATGTGTTCACCCCTTACCGCTAAATTATTTACTAATATATCTGAATTTTTCAGTTATTTTTAAAAGACAAGGAGTTTTCCGTTGATAAAGTTAAGGCCAAATTTTACTTAAATACTGTAAACTTTTGCCTTTCTGTCACTTATATACCACAAGTTGTAATTTTTAGCAGGAAAATATCATAAGTTATTTAAAAAAAAGCATCAGTACTCTCAATCATGCAAACACCAAAAAATTTCACTGTTACCATGTGACACTGACGTGTTGATTTTACACCTTTCTGACCATTAAATGCTAACATATTTATAATGTCACACTTATTTGAGTTTTCAGCCTAAAAAACACATAAACGACAAAAATACTTCACCCCAAACGCGTGCAAAAGCACGTGTTCCAATTAATTATAAAAAATATAGATTTGTTCTATATTAGTCCCCCAAATCTTTCATGTTTTGATATTAGACCCCAAAGTCATCATATTTTAAAATTAATCCTGAAATTGATGTCCTCTTCAACTGACCAGCGTCGTTCTTGCTAGAGAGGGTTATTAGGAGGCCGATTTGTTGATCTTTTGCTCATTGGCTAGGGTTTCAGTAGGTTCTTTTTTCTTGGATTGGAGGGTGGAGGGTGGGAGATGGGAGGATTGAGGGGAGTTGAGGTTAGGGTTTGGGTGAGGACTGGGTTTTTTTTTCCTTGGATTGGAGGGAGGGATGAGATTTAGGGTTTGGGGATTGGGCTAGGATTTGGAGATTTGGGTTAGAAAATCCATGGTTGAGAGAGATTTAAGGGACTAATTTCAAATTATGAAAGATTTGGAGGACTAGTGTTGAAAAAACCCTTAAGTTTATAGTTAATTAGGATACATATGCAAAACACGTACCTTAGTTAGGGTAAAATGACCAACTCACGTATTTTTTAGGCTAAAATTTCAATTAGCTGTGATATTGCGAAGATACAAGTAAAGGTGGTATTGACAAAAAAAAACTGAAGGTTGTGGACCAGTTTTGAAAGTAGACCTTTTTAAATATTTTCGACCCAGTCCTAACTTAATTATCATTTTCGACCTAGTTTCATAAAACTAGGTCGAAATTGGTGAATAAAACTTCATGGGATTGGCAATCCCGTGAAGTTTTATTCAGCAATTTCGACCTAGTTTCATGAAACTAGGTCAAAATGATAATTAAGTTAGGACTGGGTCGAAAAGTATTAATAAATGTTTAAAAGGGTCGGTTTTAAAAAAAAATCCTAAATATTGTAAGTATCAATTTTGACAAAAGTAAAGTTGGTTTTCATGTAAAAACTCTTAAATTTATCATTAGACATATCCCAACACTTTTTTAAAGTAAAATTAAAGTAAGTTCGAAAAAAATTGGTTAATTTAATAGCAAATTTAACAAATATTGATAGTTATAATGCTCTAAAATTAGCATGTAAATATCTTAGAGAAACATTCGGGTAAATTTTTTTAGGTTTGAACGATTGGTGATGCTAATGTGCCAATTTTCTAACAACTTATGGTATTTTCTGCAACAAAATGCAACTTGTGAAGTGGAAGGGCGGGGACACTTTGTGGTATTTAAGTGCAATTTAGCCTAAATTAAATGACAGTGGTTTACTTATAAGGCTACAGGAGCTTTTTTTCTGTGTAATTTATCTTTTTCAAAAACAAGGTTTGATTTGAAGACGTACACAACAAGGTGAGGAAGTTCAACAATTAGAAGGATATCGAGAGGAGGAAGAGATGGCCGTAGAAGAGAGAAAAGACCCTCTACCAAACTTAAGCCTCATACATTGTCAACAATGAATTGGATCCTCAAGCATGCTTTAATAATACATCAGAAGAACAAAATAATCTAGACCATAGGCATAACCAGCAAAAAGCTTAAAAGCAAATTGGCCACATATTGAATCAGTTATCATATCCTGCTCAATATTACTCTCACCTATCTTTATTTAACCCGTCAAGGAATTGAGATCAGTGTAATACTTGCCAAAACTATAGTCACAAGAAGAGCAAGACATGTATCCCAACTATTAAGGCTCACAGCTACATTCTGCGGCTTATCTAATTGCAACTAGCACTTCGATTATTATCATATCATCAAGTTTTTCCCAAAGAAATAGAAGAAAAAAATGGTTGGTGAAAGTTTAGAAAGTTGCCTTCAGGACTCAAATACATAAGCTGGCTGTGGATTGTTTATCTGATGGTATAAATTCATGTCACAATGGAGGATTGAGACATAATCGTAGAGGGCATTGTTTCTCGTCTAATTTCTCCCTTCACAAAAAAAACCACAGCTTATGAATGTATGAACTTCTTGCATGTGCCAAGAATTTAAGATGATGCTGATTGATGAAGTCATTTCAATTTTAATAAATTAATCTCATACTTGTGCTTCTTACAGATCCAAACTTCATCTGGACTGTTGGATTCAAAGAATTTGCTCATCCTGCCACTGAAACTTCCTCTTCCATGGAGACTTTGGGGCCAACTTTTTTCCTTGCAGTTGCTATGTTTAGTTTTGTATTTCAAATTAGTGCTTTGGTTGCAGAAAAAGAACTCAAGCTCCGTCAGGTTTGTTTGATCTTTTCACCAATTCGAGAAACCGTTCTTTAAGATGAGATTCCACTAGTGTTTCTCAGAAAATCCAATATGCCTAAGATCAAGACTTTGATGGAATTTTGCAGGCTATGTCGATGATGGGCCTTTATGAATCTGCATATTGGCTGTCTTGGCTTACATGGGAGACATTGCTGACGCTTATTTCGGCACTTTTTACTGTACTCTTCGGGATGATGTTTCAGTTTGACTTTTTTCTGAAGAACAATTTTGCAATTGTATTCCTCGTCTTCTTCCTTTTTCAGCTTGCTATGGTAAGTTTCTATGTTGGCCAATTTCTTATTATTTATAACTAGCAAGCACTTCCAACGTGACGCTGGGCAGAATGGAGAATTTAAGCTCTATACGAACAAATCAACGACTTTTGCTCAATGATCATAACTGTTATATACGTCTCGTTGATTTCAACTCTGAAATAAGATTCAGCATGACAACACTCAGTTTAGCATAGATAAACTGGAGAGAATAAGACACTACATCATATTATCAACACCGCATTACATTTGAGTAGGAGGAATATTTTGCTCCTTTTTACATGTCATGCCATTTCAAATTCTCACATACTACTTCCAAACATAAGAAGTTGATGTCGAAACAAGATCGCAACTGTGAAATCTAAAAATTTTATAATGATATCAAGAGAATACATAGAGTTGTGTAGAAGAGCCCATCCATATAGAATGAAGTGATAGCAACCCACACATAGCAAATTTCTAAAAATAACCAAATTAGGTTTAACAAAATTACCACAAAAGAAAGTCAGATAAATGGTTCATAACTAACATGAATTTAATAGCACCAAGTAACAAAATAAACACAAAAGAAAAGCCTAACTATAAAGTTGTCATCGTCAGTTTCCATCATAAGTTGTATTAGACATAACTTAACCCTTACTTACATTACATAACTTAAACCTAACTATATAATCTGTCATCATCAGTTTCAGTGGCAATTGAAAAAATCCAATGCAGTGGCTCCTGCAATGGTCTTAGTCTCTCTTGCAAATTGGAATTCAGTTCCATTCTTTGTACAAACACGTGCACTTCCTGTAGAAGCACACTCTCGACTCATCCATGCAAACTTCATGTCTCTCCTCTTGAGGTCAAATAAACACGCAGCCTCCAAAAGGAGATTGTGGCTGTACAAAATCAAGCCAACAAAATGAAGAAGTCAAAAAATGAGAGGGCTTTCGGTGGCTTGTTGACAAAGAGAGGGGTGGCCGAAGTTTAGGGGAGCCGTCATTGTTGACAAGAGGGGGGCATGGAAGCTATAAAACCCCCCTCTCCTTTCACTTAAATCATCATCAGAATCAATTAGCTTCTGAGAGCTTGAGTGAGATTATTGAGAGTGATTGAGAGAGCTTGAGAGAGATTATTGAGAGAAGAAAAAACAATCAAGAGTGATTTGTTGTTTGTGAGATTATTGAGTGATTATAATCTCTATTTGTACTATCTCTCCCTCTATTAGTGAAATCTATCCCCTCCTTGCCCCGTGGACGTAGGCACATTGCCGAACCACACAAATTTGGTGTCTTGCTTGTGTGGTGCTTATTTTTTGTATTGATTTGTGCTCCTATCTCGGATTTGATTTTGATTCTGTTGCGCACAACAAGAGGTATCAGAGGTCCAGGTTGGCTTGAGGTTCAATTTAGAGGATTGGAGGAGAAAGCTAGGGTTTTTACAAGAGATTTCATCTTCCAAGGAGTGGTGGAGAAATCAATTGGAGGATTCGGTGCAGATTCTCGTTTGGAGGTACAAACCCTAATTTTGCTCTTTTTAATTCAAGTTGTAGTTGTGTAATTTAGAGATTGGATTGTCAAAATGACCGAAGCAAGTACATCGGGATCGTCCTTGACTAAGGCGATACAAAGGTCGAGCATTAACAATACAAAAATTGATGTTCAAAAATTTGATAGCAAGATAAATTTTGGTTTGTGGAGATGTCAAGTGATGGATGCATTAGATGTCCAAAATTTAGATGAGACTCTTGAATTATAAGAGAAACCCGATGATATGGAGGATAAGGTTTGGAAGAAAATAAATAGTAGAGAATGTGGGGTTATTAGATCATGTTTTGACGCCGGGTTTGATTTATGATGTAATGAATGAAACATCGGTGAAACGATTATGGGAAACACTCAATGACAAGTATTTGACGAAGAGCATTGAGAATAGGCGTCATTTAAAGAAGAGTTTTTACCAATTCAAAATAAAGAGAGGAGTTTCCATTAGAGAACATGTTAATAATTTCACAAAATTACTATCAGATATGGCCAATGTGGATATCATGGTAGAGGATAAAGATAAGGCGATGTTATTATTATGTTCATTGCCAGAGGATGATTATGGTACATTTGTCCTTACAATGATTAATGATAGAACCACTGTCTGTTATAAGAAAGTGACCTCAGCATTAGTTAATTATGAGTTGAGAAGGAGTGATAGTGAACACTTCGAGAAGGCATCAGGGGATGCATTGACAGTAAGAGACCGTAGTTCAAACCGCTGTCCATTTAATTGCTCAAAATTGAAGCCAAGAGGTGGTCATAGAAGTGTTGGTAGGAATCAATGTGCTTTCTGCAAAGAAGATGGACAGTAGAAGAATAAATGCCCAAAATTGAAGGATAGAGCCGGGAAGAATAAGGGAAAAGCTATACAAGCTTCAGAGATGAATGTTGCTAAAATTAGTGGCGACAATTCAGATTCGGATTTTTCGAGCTACTCATGCCCTGTATTACCATTAGTGTGTTATGTCGACTCTGCGAAGTGGATGATGGATTCGGGTGCTACATATCACATTTGCTTTAGGAGGGATTGGTTCTCCAGCTTTAAGGAGTTAGAAAAAAGGGATATCATGCTCATGATTAATGATCACGTATGCCCTATTGGTGGTATTAGAATAGTTAAGATCAGGATGTGTGACATGGTGACTAGGGAGCTGAAGAAAGTGAGATACGTTCCGTAATTAATGAAGAACATCATCTCATTTAGAACTTTGGAGGCAACAGGCTATAGGATGATCTTGAAGAATGCAACTCTGAAGATCACAAAGGGGTCCGTGGTGGTGATGAGAGGTGTCAGGAAAAATAACATTTACTATTTGAAGAACATGACAGTAATAATGGGGTCTGGCAGCTTCGATTACCACAGAAGAGGATACTACCAGCTTATAGCACATGAGATTAAGACACACTAGTGATAAGTCCCTACAGGTATTGATAAAACAGGGGCTACTGAAAGGTGCAAAGATTTACAAGATAGAGTTATGTGAACATTGCATACTTAGGAAGAAGACAAAGGTAAAATTCGGCACCGTAATTCATAACACCCAAGGATTTTAGATTATATTCATAAAGATGTTTGGGGCCCCTCTAAGAACTCATCTCTTGGTGGGATCAATTATTTTGTCATTTTCATTGATGATTATTCCAGGAGAAATTAGGTATATACCATGAAGCATAAATATGAGATTTCGGATATATTTGTGGAGTGAAAGAAGAAAGTGGAGCTGCAGACAGGTAGAAATATGAAGGTACTTCATTCGGATAATGGTGGTGAGTACAAGAGTGATCAATTTCTATAGTTTTGTTAGGATTACGATATTAGGCGACACTTCACAGTTAGGAAGACACCACAACAAAATAGGGTGATCGAGAGATTGAATTGTACATTGCTGGAGAAGACACTTCACAGTTAGGAAGGCACCGTAATAAAATGGGGTGACCGAGAGATTGAACTGTACCTTGCTGGAAAAGATGTGATGTATGCTCTCACAGAGTGGATTGGCTAGATCTTTTTGGACCGAGGCATTAGTTTATGCAAGTCATCTCGTAAATAGGTTATCGTGCACTGTGATACATGGGAAGACTCTTATAGAGGTATGGTCTGGTTCTGTATCTAGTGATTATAATTTGATTCCTATTTTTGGGTGTCCAGCTTACTATCATGTGAATAATGAGAAATTAAATCTGAGAGCGAGGAAAGCAGTCTTTATGGGTTTTAGAGATAGAGTTAAAGGTTTTAAATTGTGGGATCCAGAAGAAAAGAAGATGATCATTAGTAGAGATATCACTTTTGATGAGGTTCACATGATGAGGCTTCGGGTCCCTCAATAGGTGGAGGAAGGTCAGACTAGTGGGATATCGCAGGAGGTGAAGAATGATGTGACTCTACAGACTTTAGATAGTACTGTATCTATTGAGGCTCCTACAAAGGTGACACTGGGAGGAGATATGACAGATGGGCAGGTGGAGGATACAGTAGATATTGGGACTAAAAACAAGGTCATGTTCAGGAGTCCATTGTAGCTAATAGACCAAGAAGAATTATTCATTGGCCAGGTAGGTATAATGATGTGATGATTGCATATGTTTTGTCAGTTGAGGTCATTTATGATTTGGTTCCTTCTACATATAAGAAAGCAGAGTTAAGCTATGATTCAATCAGGTGGAGGAAAGCTATGGAGGAGGAGATGCGGTCTCTTCAGAAAAATATCACTTGGAAACTTACAAAACTATCAAAGGGTAAGAAAGCAATTGGATGCAAGTGGTGTATGCAAAGAAAAATGATCTTCTGATAGGGACATTCGATACAAAACCAGATTGGTTGCCAAAGGGTATGCCCAGCTTGAGGGCATAGATTACAATGATGTATTCTCATCTATTGTAAAGCATTCGTCGATAAGAATACTATTAGCATTGGTGGCACAGCTGCATTGGATTTGGTCCAGATAAATGTAAAAATAATATTTCTACATGGAGATTTAGAAAAGGAGATATATATGTCACAACTGATGGGTTTTAAAGCTGCAGACAATGATGATTTGGTACAATGTTACATTAAACGTTGGGCGCTTCTAGGCGTCGGGCTTGACGCCCAGCGCTTAGTCGCCCAAACGAGCGCCTAAATGGTTTCTGGGCGTTTTTTTTTTCTTTCTTCATTTAAGTAGTGGTCGATGAGGTTTTGTTGAAGGTCGGAGGAGATAGTAGAGGTGTTCATATTTGAAGGTTAATGGAGTTTGAAGGACGTGTAGGCTACGACACATAAAATCACAATCAATGCCTACAGGATGCAATCCACGTAAGCAGACAATGCTCCCCTAAACGCTCGTAAAATCTAGGTGGGCAACCTAAATATCGCCTAGGCGTTAGGCGCTAGTTAGACGGCCTAGGTATCGTCTAGGCCTAGGCGTACACCTAAGCGGACTAGGCGGAGGTTTTTTAAAAACAGTAATTTGGTATGTAAACTAAAAAAAT